GAGACCCTCCTCCGCCTCCGCCTCATCCTCCTGCTCCTCCTCCTCCTCCTTCTCCTCCTCCTCCTCCTCCTCCTGCTCCTCATTCTCCTCCTCCTTCTCCTCCTCGGGGGGGCTGGATGGAGAGCCTCCTCCTCCTCCTCCTCCTCCTCCTCCTCCTCCTCCTCCTGGTCCCGCCTCTTGGTACCGACGAGCCTCACCGTGGAGGCGCGGGGGGCGCCCTCCGCGGCAGCGCAGAGTGCCTGCGATCCCGCGCAAACGCTCGGGGGCGCCACGCCCGTGCCCTCTGCGGCCGGCGCGTCGCCTGGCGACGGATTGGGCGCGTCGGGCGTTTGGGGCAGCTCTTCGGGACGTCCTCGCCTCGAGGCCAAAACAAGTGGAGGGTTTCCTCCTCCTCATCCTCATCCTCATCCTCATCCTCATCCTCCTCCTCCTCCTCATCATCATCCCTCCCCCCCTCCCTCCCTCCCTCCCTCCTCCTCCTCCTCCTCCTCCTCCTCCTCCTCCTCCTCCTCTCTCCTCCTCCTCCTCCTCCTCCTCTCCTCCTCCCTCCTCCTCCTGCTCCTCCTCCATCTCCTCCTCCCCCCCCCTCCTCCACCCTCCTTCTCCTCCTCCTCCTGCTCCTCCTCCTCCTCCTCCTCCTCCTCCTCGGGTCGCCTACGGTCCCGGGGAAATCCGTGGACAAAAAGACCTGACCCGAAGAACACGATGAACACGTGGCTTTACTGAGGTCCCCGTCTTCGCACTCGGGATAATGAATCTGAGCGGTGTGGCTTGAGACATCTGCAGAATAAGATCCCCTATCCCTGATATGTTTGGCCCTCACACCTCAAGTCCCCTCCCAAAGAGTTAGGGTACTTGTACTGCTGATTATCCTCGTCGCCACGGCTGGGCGCAGTTCCAAACGCACCATGCAGGTGTCACGTTAATGGGGGAACAGGCGCAGGGGTTTGAGCTTCGAGGTTGTCGCGCGTGTTCGTCGGTCCTGGGCGGCTTTCCATCCTCGGGATGCGCTCCAGCGGCTGCGCCTCGCCGAGGGCGCTCGGGGTATGCCCGAATCGCCCCTGGCGGCCGCCGCAGAGCCGAGTTACGCCCCGAAAGCCTCAGGGGCAAAGTTACGGGGCATAGGCTCAACGACGCATCGACCCCCAACCGCCCAAGTCATTGCCGATAGGGGCCCGACAGCCAGCCCCGGCCACGAACGTGCGGGTCCTGCTGTCGTGTGCGTTACCGCCGATCTATCGGCGATGCATCGCCGATTCCAGGCCGAGGCCGATGCTTCCTCCCCAAGGGCTCCCAGGAGGGCGCGAAGTTATTCGCGCTTCGCGCTTCGCCGTCCTCCTTCCTCCTCCCCCTCCTCCTCGTCCTCCTCTTCTCCCCCTTGGGGGGCGGCGCGAGAGCGCGAAGTTATTCGCGCTTCGCGCTTCGCGCAGCGCGAAGCGCGAACTTAGGAGCCCTTGCCTCCCATGGGCCGGTCCTCCCCCCAACATCCCCTTGGCTGCACTACCACACCCTGGGAGAGGCCTGGGGGCCGTTTCCATGGGATTTTGCCCCGACTTCGACGCAGATATTTCTATGTCCTCGTCCGCCTGGACCCGGTTCCAGCCCCCTGGTATCATCGAGCACCACCTCAGGAGAAAAGCGGGTCCCGGGAAGGGCTCGAGAGTTCCAGGGTCGGGCGGGTATAAACGAGGGGTGGGGCCCAAATGGGGGCGGGGGAAAGGGCCTTCAAGGGGCCATTTAGGGCCCTTTCTGGGAATGGGTCCGCCCTCCTCTGCGATACCCCCAGGGGCAGCGTTCCAAAGGACCCTGGAGGGCCCAGGCTGGATGCGGCTGCCCACCACACTTCGGGGGCGTCCAGGAGTGGGGTGATGACTAGGGGGGGATACGATGGCGGGTGCCACGATATCTGCCAAAATCTCATGCCGCATCTTCTTACTTCAATGCGTCCCCCAGCCCTCCCGTGGGTCGCGCACATGCCTCGGGCTATGATTTGCGCACCCCCCATTTTGAACACCTCCCTCCTTGGAGGAGACTCCGGTGCGATCCACCGCAGGCGCTGTCCGGCCTCCTGCGAGTGCTCGCCCGCAGCCTGCGCCTGGGTTGGGAATGTCCAGCGCCGGCCCGGACCTCCGACAACAACATGGTTATGTCTTCTTGTTTGATTGGAAACTGCAGTTGGTCCAGACATGCGAGGTCTTGACGTTTTCCGTGGGCAAGTCGTGGTTTCGCCCTCGACTTCCCCTGAGCATCTCGTGAATTGCGTTCCGGGCGCGGGTCCAGGGGGCAGCTTGAAGTGGCATGGAACCGTTCGTCCCCGCGTCTGGAGATTACGATCTACTTGACGGTATGCTGCTGAAGATGGGGGGGGAAACGATTGAAAGGCGATGCCACTATAAAACGTGCTCGGCCTGCTGGGGGCACTAAGTACGCAACTCTGCAGACACGACAGGTGTGGCAACGGCGCGGCATAGCTCCAGCACGGCTAGAAGTACGTATGTGGCGCCTACACGGCTCCAGCAGGTGGCCGACCACCCGCTCGACAACCAACAATTGATTGCAGTTATGTTCGGGCAGCTCCGAGAGGAGATGAACCCAACCATCCATGAATGGCAATTCCATCGGGATTATGAAGGACCGTTTCGGGGCATTGGATGGGCGTTACAAGCGGCGAGTGACATTGCCAACATCGCACTTTTTGGACATAGCACAGAATTGCTGGGAGAGTTGAAGGGCAAGATTTGATCGATGTGCACCCCGCAGTTCTGTGAAAAAACTCGAGAAGATCGATGTGGCCGAACTACGTCAGAGGTTTATGCGGATTGAAGGTATGGATGTACGGGGACAGGCTTGACTTATCATTGCCAGTACCACCTGCATCAGCGTTGGCATGCAACGAAACTGCTAGCAGTGGAGAAATGTGCGGGCCGACGTTCGTTGATGCACAATCAGCGTGCATGCGCGCGTGCGTTGTTCGAGGAAAGGTAGCCGTGGACATCGAGCAGTTAGTTAATTCTTTACCATCACGAACGCATGTCCTTGGTGCATGAGCGCACATGCGGCGCGAGCGATATCGCAACATCACGACCGACGGCCTTTTCTTAATCATGCATGCGATTGCGATCGCAGTCCTGTGCGTCATGGGGTAGCCCAACCCCCAGCACCGTCTTGCCCGGCTGGCAGTTTGGAGCAATTATCGCCCGAGTCACTGCAGCTGCATATCTGATAGCGCGCCGACCTGCCCAGCGCGACCCAATTCGTCTTCACGGTGGATGGCGCAGCGCTGCACCATCCACCGCGGTCGGCCATTCTGCCGATTGGAACGCACGCGCCTTCAGTGCCGGCGGATGCCCGGAGAAGACAGCGTCTCAGAGCCCCGAATCATCAGGGGTAACTCGGGTCAGGGATAACTCGGGTTCGTTTTTCCGGGAATCCAAACCCGAGTTACCCCGGACCCGAGTTACCCCGGATAACTCGGGCGCCCAGAGCCCCAGATCATCAGGGATAATTCGGGTCAGGGCTAACTCGGGTTCCTTTTTCGGGAATCCAAACCCGAGTTATCCCGGACCCGAGTTACCCCGGATAACTCGGGCGTCCAAAGCGTCCTGCAATGTTCCATGGGCCGTCGCATCTGCATTTGTGCGACCGACGTCGGCTGCGGCGCGCCGCCCCCCCCCCCCCCCACCCCTTGCCACCCCGCCTGGGCAAGGGTGCGGGTCTATTTCGCGCTCGAGAGCAGCGGGGGATCGCCGTCGATGAGGCGAAGCTCGCCTAGGCCAAAAAGAGCCAGTTGCGGACCCCCACCAAAGATCTCCCTCGGCGGCGGCTCCCACGGCGCGCGCGCGCGCCCCAGGGCGGCGGCAAAGCAATCCGTAGCAACAGCGGCAGCGCTGGGGGGGGGGGGCGCAGCCATTGACGCCGACGATCCTGACGCGGAGACGGCGGCACACAGGAGTAAATTCCAGCTCGACACAGCGCAGCGCATCAGAGCGTCGGAGGGGCGCCTGCTGTCGACGCAGCTGCTGCCGATGGTCATCGATCTGACGGTCGCGGCGATGGCGCCGCCCGACCTCGTGGACATCGTCAAGGCGAAGCCCGCGGATCATGGACAGGGCCATCCAGGTCTGGCGCTGAGCATGACGGCGCTGGGAACGCCTGCCGCCAACGCCCAGCTCTTGCAGGAAGCCGAGGTAAAGAACGAAACGAGAGCCCTCGCCGACTTCGTGGCCATGTTCAAGGGGCCGCCGATGGCGGCGGCGTCAGATCTCACGCGGTGGAAGGTCAAGCAGTCTTCGTGGAGAAGGACGCTCCTCAGAAAGCGCGGCAGATCTGGCGCGCGTGTTTCGTCAACGCGTGGACTGCCCCCGGTGGGGCACTATCACGGTGCCAATGAAAGGCGTTATCACGGCCCTCTTCGCGATGATGGGCGGCGCGCCCAAGCCAGGCCCCCTGTCCCAGGACACCGCAGGAGCGGACAGCGCAAGGCAGCCTGGAGCGGTTTCTGCGCAGCGCCAAGCACCGTAGGTGAGTGCGCAGAGCATTGTGCATGAGGGTGGAGGAGTGAGCGGTGATGCTGTGAAACCTCAGCTTGGACAGACCGTGCTTGAGAGAGGGCGAGTGGGTCCTCGATCCGCGCGGGATCCCACCTGGCCAACCCGTCCAGAGGAGGCGACGAGTGCGTAGAGGTCAGCGCACGCATTGTTTCCAACGTGTTGCGTGTAGCGTTTGTCGCAGCTCCTCTGACCCACTGCGGAGATTACAGTAGCCCCGATCAGTCTGGAGATCCCAGTGGTCTCAATCAGCGCTTCCATCGCCTCCGCCAGCAGTACCTCGCGCTGTCTGATGTCTGCCTCTTGCTCCAGCCAGGAACCGCATGGTCACGCTTCGATACCAATCGTTGCCACCCAAACGTTCTACCATGGCGGCCACTACCCGAAAAGCTCTCCCACCACGGTTAAACTAGTTCACCAAAAAAAAAAATGCGTTGGTAGCCGACGCAATCA